CACAGACAACCTCTCGTCAATATGCGTTTTTTGCATTGCATTACTGCAAAAAACGCATAATAAAAGGGGATTTACCACGAAAGATTTTGCACTGAAGAGGTAAAAATCGCACTACAATGTTGAAAACGTTTTCTCATTGATATTAGGAAGTGATACTCTTCTCTGGTCAGTAATTTTACTCGATTGTTATCGGCACCGTTTGCACTCTCAGCAAATTTTGCCTTTCAGGCTACTGTACGTGTGTGGTCTTCACGTGAATTGAACCATGAACTTCTTATCGAACAGCCGTTGTTATTGTTCCGCTGTGATGAGAGACTGTTTGAAAATGATATTCTTTTTCCGTGCTTTTTACGGGTTCTTCGGTTTTATATGTCAGCAAGCCGTGTATTCCTGTTACAAAAACTGAAAATGAGCCAAAGTGTAAGGTAAGTTTTGATTTGATGAAAGAACAAGGTTTATTTTGAAAACACTGGAGATTTGTCCTGCATTTCCCAAAAATTTCTGTGGTGAAATTCCGCTTAGTTCACATTTTGTGACATCGCCCAGTCAGCCTTCTAAACAGTGGATCACTTGTCTTCCTGCTTTTGTTTGGCGTTCTTCCAGACAAAAAATCGGATCTGCCGCTTTGCTTCTAGGTTTATGTATTCCATCGGTTCATTTTTCGGCGACCTTTTTGCGTTCCCTTTTGAGATCGTTGAATTAATCGTTTCGGGTCTCCAGCAATAAAAGTTTTCGGAGTTTGACCGAGTGGTACTGGAGTTAGACCGTGTGATTCTTTGTCAGTAAATCAACTAAAGAAAGGGTCTTTCATGATCATCCGCACAGTTGACATAGGGCATTTTATGATTGTGATATTATAGGAATCCCTGCACGTGGACCTCTCCCTTTATATGGATCCCTCCACATAGGGGTCCCTCCACATGCGATGTCCTTTAACTCCTTGAGCTGCGCGCAAAATGCTTTTATAGTGTTTCTTTATTTTCTTACGATGTATTAATGTTTTTAGATTTTCTTTGCCATGCATTGCCCTAGTCCAAAATGGAAATAATATTTCCTCTTAAAGATACTAATCTTTTTTTTGTACAGAGAAGACCAGCGAGGTGAACGTGAAGAGCTGACGCAGTCGCTAATAGGGACGCAAGATTCGGCAGTTGTGCAAATCCTGTTGGAAATCTGTGGTCGATTCAAAAACGTTTTTGTTCATCGACTTTGCTGTGGCCACATTCATCAGATGTTCATCGCAGATCCCATTCTTACGAAATTAGTTCATTTTCAGGTTGCTCTGTTTCTTTACTCTGTAAAGATTTTTTCTGTAATTTCAAGAGACGAAATTGCCATTAATACTTAAATA